GTAGTTCTTGGGGCCGTAGAGCTCGAACGTCTGACCGACGGTGCTGTCATCGTGCAGCATAGCCTCGAGGGCAGCGCCGACATCAATGGCCTGTGCAAATTGTCAGCACGACTCAAATCATGACTTGCTCAAAGCAACTTACGTGCACCGGCCAGTAGCGCTCCTGCATGTGGTTGGAAGTGAAGACGTTGGTCGCACGAGCGAGCTTGTGAAGGAGGTTGTCCTCGAAACCGAACATGGGCGCGGGGCGGACGATGGTGGTCTCAGGGTAGATAGAGCGAGCAATCTCCTCACCCCAGGCCTGCAGCAGTCAGCACCTATTCGTCAGCGGGAGAAAAACCCAACAAACGAACCTTGGTAGCGAAGAACTCGGAAGGAGAGTCCCGGTTAGCGTTGTAGGAAGAGACGTGAATGAAGCGATCAACATCGTACTTGGCAACAGCCTCGACAATGCGCTCCGTTCCATCGACGTGAACGTCGTTGTAAGTGAAGTTCCTGTGTGGAGATTAGTATGGCGCATTCAAGATAGACTTATGATACTAACTTGGTAGGATATTGGCGACCAACAAGGTTGTAGACAACATCGGAATGGCGCACAGCCTCCTCAATGGACTGAGTGTTGCGCAGATCGTATTCCTGCCGGACCGCCGAGTTAGAGACTCGATTACCATGCTCGAAACGAAGGTGTCATACGATGAAAGTAATTCGTCCGAGATCACCAGTGACCTTCAAGTGTCTCTTCGTCATCTCCTCACGGTAGGGGACAACAACGCTGCATCCCTGACGAGCTATGTCGGCGTCAGTCTCTAGCTCTTTCGAATCGACCATGGGTCCAACCTACCGAGCTTATTGACAATGTAACGACCGAGGAAACCAGTAGCACCGAAGACAGTGGCGGTGTGACCTAGATGATATGAGCTTTCTGGCGCCGACGCGAGCGGATAATGAAACGAGCAGAGGGCGAAGTACCTCCCAGAGACGACCTGCGGCAGGCAAAAGTTAGCATCATCCCACGACCATGACCCCGGTACATGCGCTCTTACCGTCCACCTTGAACCTTCAAGATCGGCTTTCCGGTCCGAGTAATGGCAACATCCTGGAGGTTGCGGCGCTGGACCTGGAACTGAACCCTAGGGGCGGGGACGAAGGCCCTCGAGGCCATGGCGGAATTGGCGGCCCGGCAGCTCTGCATGGTCTCAGTTCTGCTTGCGAATCTGATGAGACCACCGGTATGCGTCCGGATCGGTGGTTGGCGATGGACAATGGGGTGGTAGAGGGGAGAGAGCCAAGCTCGACGTCAGGACTTGTGCTCACAGCTGGTAGATGTTGAAAGTCGCTGTCCAGAATAACCTTGGAGCGGGCACGGGACTCTGGCGCTAGTCCCTTTTCGGCACACTCCCTGGCCGATTTGCACCTTCTTCAATTGTCCGATCTCCCTCCGTGTCGCCTACAATGCTCTGGAAAAGACTGTCAATATGTAGGATTGTGATCATACAGTCGCCTTACTCGAGCACCTCGAATATTTATCCATTCGACCACCTGTCATGTTCAATCCTAACCCCGAACACTTGATCTCCTGCCGGATCGCGTCTGACTATTCGCGAAATATGATTGGTTGACTGACTTACAGCGTCATGGCGCATCTACTACGACGCAACTTAGACTACCTATTGATCTGGTGTCGAAAAGAACGTACAGTACCCAAACTGGCGAAAGCAAAGCATGCATGATACTCGGTTCATTACTCTTTGGACTGCAACCATATCACTAACATTGTTCAGCAGCGCTGTCCCCGAGCGAGGAATAGGGCTTTTGGCAGCTTCTGATGAACCTTGAACGCCATCTTATGCTCCAACACCTCTCTTTGAAAACCCAGGCCTACTCCGGCTTCTTCATAGAGCTGCTGGATGCGCTCTAGTGTGAAACCATGGCTGCCGATTGTGTGTTCGGCGTCGCCAAAGTCAAGCCTCCCATGAGCTGAATCATGCTGCTCGTCATGGTGGTGGTGGTGGTGGTGGTGACGGTGATGGTGATGGCCATGATGGTCGTGGTGGCTCTCTTCTGCCAGGATCTCTAGGACCAGAAGCACACCACCTTTCTTGAGGCGCTCACTCAACCGCGCCAAGGCCAGCTCGGGATTCTCAAAGTGGTGCAGCGCCATGCTGACCACCACAAGGTCGAATTTGGTGTATTCATCTGCGGACAGTTCCTCCGATACAGACTCGGCGAGAAGATCAGCTTTGACTCCAGTCATCTTGTCTGCTAGACCCGCTTCCTTCGCATTTTTGTTGAACTCGCTGATCATGCCATCTGAAACATCCATGCCGACGATCTTGCTTACGAAGGGAGCTAGAGTCTGTGGGTTGTCAGCTTCGTTTCTTTGATATAGCTGATGCCATAGGGTTGGAAAATTACCATGGATATAGGACCCGGTCCGCAGGCATACTCGAGCATCTTGATCTCCTTACCCCGGCCAGACTCGGTGTCGGTCCAGGTATCACTGATCCACGCACGGCGGTTAAGGACCTCTGCGCAATTCTTCTTAATGAAATCCTTGAATTCGTCATTGTAGGTACTAGCCATCTTGCTATAAATTGCATAAGTACCTTGCCTGTTCATCCCAGGAGCTTGTCACTTACTCGAAGTACTGGCGGTTTTTCTCGGTGAAGTCAGACATGATGATGGTATTGATTGGACAATGGTACAAAGGCAGAGGTATTCATAACTTGGGCCGATTGGAAGATAATAGGAGAAAATAGATCAATTGATGGTTACAAAAGAGTCCTCTATGAATAGAACAATACGCCCCTATTTATACCTTTTTTTCTGAGCCAAAAAGCTTTGGGTACCCTAGTTGTAGATGTCTCAGAGGGCTGCTCGGAGAGATATCGGACACTTATTGCTACCATTCTGGGGTTGTAGTAGAGACTCAAGTCTGGATTGGTCCATCCGAGTAGTATTGTCAACATTAACCCATACCAAGAGATGCTATACAATTCAAGAGCCGAAGTATATTCTGGGTACAAGGACGGATGGTAGTTTCGGAAAAAATTCATGCTTGATGTTTGTTACTGAAATTGATGATGATGACGATGTAGATGGGGATCGATGTCATGTGCCTCACCGCCCGAGCATCAAGGCGGATGTTCACCTCAGCTCCGCTGCGCTGCCACCTTCAGATCAGCTTCCTTCTATCTTCCCCATCTCCGATTGACGTACCCCCACCTCTCACGACCCTTGATTCCTTCTTGATTCCTCTCTCCTACCCTTGTCCCACATCCCATCATCCCCCGGTTCCATCATGGAGAACCAAAGGATCACCGATTTCCTCGCCGACCAGCTCCAGCAAGCTCCCGAACAGAGCCAGGCCTTGTTCCTGACCTTCGAAGACTACTGGGAGCGCAAGCTATGGCACCAACTTACCGATTCCCTGATTGAATTCTTCCAGCTACCAGAGAGCGGCCCCCAGCGACTACCAATATTCAAGAACTTCGTCCTCAGCTTCGCCGACAGAATCAACCAGCTCAAGTTCGTCTCGCTGGGGTTGATGGCATCGACGGAGTGTGCAGGTCTGTTTCAACTGCGCCCCAGTAGCTTCCGACGAGCTCCAAACTGATCAAAACTGGGCGGATCGTACACAGATGACAAAGAACGCCTCTCTTTCCTCACATCGCTGGCCGACAAGGTCAACAAGCCCGACAGCCAAGATGCTTACATCTACGCCCTCGCCGACGTCGCCAACGTCAAGCAACGACTACAGGACCTGGACGGGGCACAGAAGGACCTGGAGGTCTGCCAAAAAGTGCTAGATACCTTCGACTCGGTTGAGACCGTTGTGCACGCTTCCTTCTACAAAGTCAACGCGGACTACTACCACGTAAGGGGACACCCTTCGCTATCTCCGCACCCTTTCCCCTCCCCCACTAACAAAGCTCCCAAAAACGACAGGCCAAACAAGAATTCGCCTCCTTTTACAAGAACGCCCTCCTCTACCTCGCGTGCATCAACCTGGAGGACCTCAGCGACGCGGAGCGGGTATCGCGGGCCTACAACCTCAGCGTGGCGGCGCTGGTGTCGGAGACGATCTACAACTTCGGCGAGCTGCTGCTGCACCCGATCCTGGACTCGCTGAGCGCGACGCCGCACGGCTGGCTGCGCGACCTGCTGTTCGCCTTCAACCGGGGGGACCTGACCGCCTACGACGTGCTGGCCGGCAACGTCGCCAAGAACCAGCTGCTGGAGCAGCACCGCCTCTTCCTGTACCAGAAGATCTCGCTCTCCGCGCTGACGGAGATGGTCTTCCGCCGCCCGCCCCACGACCGCAACCTGACCTTCGCCGCCATCTCCGCCGAGACCAAGGTCAAGCCCCAGGAGATCGAGCACCTGATCATGAAGGCCCTCTCGCTGGGCCTGCTCAGGGGCGCCATCGACCAGGTCGCCCAGGTCGCCCAGATCCACTGGGTCCAGCCCAAGGTCCTGGACATGAAGCAGATCGAGGGCATGCGCAACCGCCTCAAGGACTGGGATGCCGGCGTCAACCAGCTGGGCCACTGGATCGAGGGGGTCGGCAAGGATGTGTGGGCGGCTTGATAAAATGAGATAATTTCCAAAGATTAGAACCAGATACCTTAACAACTTCAGTACCGTCACAACAACAACCATGCTATGTCCCACCACCTGTTTCTCAAGCCTCCCCAATCATTTACTCTCCCAACCCCTCGTAACGTGAGAACAGTAAATCATCTGCAGTTCATGTACGAAGTACTAGACTTTTTCCATATGTCACTTACCATATCTCAAAGCGTATGGAATGGCACCTCCCCACTTGAATCCGACACCATAACAGATATCCAGGAAAATCCGAACCACATAGAAGTACGACGAGGGAATTCCATAGTAGCCCTAAAAAGATTTATACTATACAAAGCGTTCAAGCAGACGAGCAAGTAAAGCAAAGCTATTTGTATGATGCTCTACCTATCCTTTAGAAACAAAAAGCCCTAGAACAGGGAGAACCCCAACAAAGCACACCCAGTCACCCAGGCGGGCCACCAGACACACCAGACCACCACCTGGGTCCACATGCCCCAGACGTCCCACCCGAAGGCCGCCTGCGTGAGGACCGTCTCCACGTCGACCCCGACATACCGGCACGCCACGAGAAGGACGATGGGCGGGGACAGCACGTTCAGAAGGACGAGGCCGGCGACGGCGAGCACGGCCCGCAGGGGGCGGGAGGCGGTGCGCGGGTCGATGCGGTTGACGAAGCTGAGCGGGGTGCAGAGGAGACCGATCATGAAGGACAGGGAGAAGTTGAGGGTGGCGAGCGTGGAGAGGAAGAGGCCGAGGACGAGGAGCGAGAACGATTTGATGAGCAGGGATTGTTGCGACTGTTCCCGCAGGGTGGTCGTCAGGCCGCGGGTGAGGGAGGCTGCGAGTGCGATGGGCAGGATGGCGTTGATGGCGATGCTGGCGTAGGTTGCGGTTGGGTAGTACTTGTGGTTTGAGATTAGCATGTGAGGTCTTTCTGGTCAGAGAAAGGGTAAGGACGGGCACGAACCTGGTGGTGGATATTGTTGAAAATGTAGAGAGGGATGAGACCGAGGAGGTGGAGGCCGACGACAAGGGTGAGCGGCAGGGCAAGTTGTCGCTCGATGATGCTGTTAGAGTCGGTTTTGACGGCTGGTTGCTGCGCGGTGTTCGCACCGGACTTCTCCGTCGAAACAGCCACTTGCTTATTCGTCTCTCCTGCGCTTGCTGCTGGAGGCTTGACGGCAGCTTGCTCCGAGCCGAAATAGTATCCCGTCCGCAGCCAGAGTGCGATGGCCATAATGGTGAAGTTTCCGGCGATCAGCATGGCACTGGGTAGATAGGTACCGATGCTGACGAAGCGGTTGGTTTGCATAAGCAGGTAGAAGAAGAAGCTCTGATGCAGATGCTCCAGGAGATTGTTCAAACTGCGACAGAGACCCTCGATGGTACGGCCCAGTGCCATCTCATCCTGCCAACCGTCGCCCTTGGGCTGCAGCGTGATGGCGTCGATATGGTATGGCATGAAACTGCTATGCGCACCCGTCGCGTAGCCGAAGCCCTGCTTGACCATGCCTCGCAGAATCGTCTGCAGCCGCATCTCATAGCTGTCATTGTGGTCCCACATTTCTTGCAAATTGGAACCAATACCCATTTGGCCACCAGCAATCGATACAGCCGTGTTGAACAGGTCCAGATTGGGCAGCTGGCCGTTGACACCATCGTAAAGAATATGAAGTGATTCAAATCGATGATCGAAGGGATACTCAATGACCAAGCCTCCCTGCAACGCGCCGCTCTTCAATGGCAGCGGCTGCACAAATGCCGGTTGCATATCATGGTAGGCGTCAATCCACGCCTGGGTGCCCGATTTACTATCCGGTGGTAGCACGAAGATGATATCCTTCGACCATAAGGACCAACCTGTAAGGCGTAAACCCGGTCAGCAAAAATGGAAGCGTCTTCTGCTGCTGCTGCTCCGCTGGACGAAGCCGGAAAATCAATCACGCACGTTTAAAGTATCCCGCCAGCGTCAGCGCAAGGCTTACACCATTCAGATTCAGTTCGTCATCGGCAGTTCTCCAGGCCGCGACAAGCACAATGGCTTCAGTAGCGTCACCCCGCGGTGCTTGGATAATCGCGTAGACATTCTGCCCCTGATGAGTGATCCCCGATGAGGTGTACTCGTACTTCTGCGTCGCGACTTTGAGTCCTGCAGCTCGCAAGATCGACTGGACCTTATCGGAAACACTGAGCTCGAATTGAAAACCTCCATCAGTAAGACATGGCCTTTCTCAACGGAGCGGAAAGGGTTATTGGGCAGAGAAAGTGAACGTACGCCGGGGTAAATTCGTCGTTTCTGCTGTCTTGCTCACTTAGCGTCTGGCGCTCCAGGATCGCCTCTAGCTCCTTCTTGTATCCCCGGAAGATGTGCTGTTCACTGCCGGAGAAATATGCGTGGACCTGACCGGGCAAGAGCGCGTTTTCGGAGATGTACGTTTGGCGGGAGTAATCGTTGAGGGGAAGGAGGAGCAGCCAGACGACGCCTGCAACGATGCAGAGGAAGGAGAGAATATGCGGCAGGTGGACGAAGAGGAAATGGGGATTGCTCCGCAGTTTGCGGATTGCGGCTGCCATGGTTCTGGTGTCAGCATGACTTTGAATCGATCCGAGGTGTTGTTTCGCCCGCGGTGGGCAATCCGGGGTGAACAAGGTGGTGATGGTAGCAATCGGGGATAAGCAGGGCCGATAGAGAAAGGCAAGAAGCACGCAGAAACTCTTCTCACTAGTGCCCGTGGTATTGAGCCATACTCACATTTTAGAGCCATGGAGGTTGCGACATCTAGGGACTCCGTCCCATGGAAGAGTTGTTGATGCTACAGCTGAACGGGTACGGAGCCATCAATCGGCGGCGATTTGGCCAGAGCAGCCCGCGGATTTACGTCAGCCGCTAAGTTAAGTTAACTATTGTTGATATGATTGACACCAAGCAATGCAATCACATTAAATAATATTCACTCCTTCCATAACTAGCTTTTACACATTACAAAGAGATCCACGTATAGTAGAATGTATAATATATGCACAAGAATGATAGGCTAGAGGATAACCCGTCTACTGAGTTCTCAAGCACCCAGACGCTGCGAGGAGCCCAGATAGCTCATGGGAGTCGCCCTCTCGCCCCCGGCAGTCGTGGTCGGAAGAACACCATACCGACCAAATGTCTTCTGGTCCACCGAGACATAGTGTGGCAGTCTTCCCAGAAGGTTCAACTTCCCTTCAATCCATCTCAGAACCTTCTCAGGGGGGACGAAAACTTTCAGGTACCCGAGACCGACTAATCTAGTCCGTTAGAAAAGTGGAAACCAGAAGCAAGCGGGTGCACAAGGCAGAGTACTTACACAGATAGCCCACGAAGATGGCGCAGAGATGGCCCAGGAGACTCGCATTCTGGACGAAAATCGAGACCAGGCCACAAGCAAACAGGGGGGAGGTCCACGTAGGGATCTTGTACGGCCCAAGGCTGACGTATCGTCAGTTCAGAGTCCAATGCATAAGTTCCGAAATTTTTGACCTACCTGAAGTACGGGTTGGATTTAAAGGTTCTTATGGCTTCTGACCCCAGGAGCAAGAAGACCCAAACACTGAAAGATCTGTTAGACGCCCCTCGAGAACCCTCAATACCAGGCCAGAGTCACTCACCTGGCACCAAAAACTTCGGTATTTCTGTGCAAGACGAATCTCTCGATCAGAATATACGCGCCCGCCGGAAAAGTCGAAAGGGCTGATGTGTAGTCACCGCAGTTAGTGTCTCTGCTGTAGCAACAAAGCCGGAGTATGGTCGGGGCTAAATTTGACTTACGGCCAAAGAACAGAGCGACTGCAGTCAATGTGCCATGCTCGGCCTCGAACCGCTCCAACAATGGGGTGAGAGCCAGGAGATTCAGGAAGGCATGGAAGAATCCGAAGTGGATGAATGGGTATGTGTTAAGTCGATACACTGTGTTCTCATGTCAGATGTACGTGTACTCCTTGCAAGAGTCTGGAGGCTGTTCATACTGGTGCCAATGTTGATTTCCTCTGGTATCAGCGAACCCCATTGCTTCACACTCCACACCGTCTGCAATTCGAGTAACCAGAACACGATAATCGCTAAGAGCACAAGCCGAGTGAAAAGAGGGAGGCGAAGAACGTAGGACCGGACCCTCGATGGGTTGAACGGCAGTGGCGGTAAAGCGGCCGGAGTAGCCATGATGTTGGGTATTCGAGTTGTAGATCACAAATTATTATGTTAAAGCACAGAGTCGAGCTAGACCGTGGAGCTTGAGATTTAGACACCAATGTTGTCTCTATGGAATGAGGGCCGGTCGAGACTTTTGCAGGCGTCAAGCGCACGGTCGTTCGAGGGGGCAGTGGATCGGTTCGGTAGTGGACGCTGTCTGTCAAGGAGAGACTGGTGATCCGAGCTGGGGCGAGAATCGACGTTTGGAAAGGTGTAGCGATAGATCAAGGGTGTAAAAGATGACTGCTTTCGTCAGCCCAACACGCCACGGGAAGGGATGAGAGGTAAACACGCGACAGGGTCGCAAGAAGCCAGCAATCAAGCCCGCACGAAGCAAAGGGGGACATACAATCGACAAATTAGCGCAATTGCCCCGCAAGTCAGGGGAAAGGAAAAATCCACCGGCGCAGTGCTTCCTCAAGTGTGTTTGTTGGCTCTTCTCGCTCCGGGACAGTAAACGCTGACTTGTTCTCGCCGACGGCCTTTTTCCCAGCGCCAACCACCAGGGTCACGTGGAACCATCCATTCTGTCAAAGATGCTCGATCTTAGTCTCAACTTACTTCAACCATTGCAGGCGTCTATAATAAAGAAATGCAGCATAACTGAAGCCTGTCATTACTCATGTCTGTTCATTGACTAATGATGGAAATTCTAAGGGCATCCGGGCCCACATTATGTACAGTACATTTAAGCATTTACAGGTACTGGCGGAACCAGGCAATGGCCTGGCAGAAAGCCTGCTCCTTAGCCCACTTGAAGTGCTTGTTGCTAAGGTCGGCACGAACAGCGAAACCGTGGGAGACGCCGCTGAACAGATTGATCTGCCAGGGCTGACCAGTCTTGATCAGGGTGCCCTCGGACTCGTGACGAAGCTCGGTGGTGAAGATGGTGTCGATCTCTGTTTGAAGATGGGGTGAATTAGCAACGAATTAGGATGCGAGAGGGCTCCACTACGAGAGCGTAGAAGCTTACCAGCAGCAGCAATGGAGAGAGGACCGGTGATAGCGCCGAGCTCCTCGTGGGTAACGAAAGAGGGGTGGGCATTGAAGCCAACATCGACCTTGCCCTCCTTCATGAAGCGGCAGACGTACTAATGCACATTATACTGTTAGCATGTCTACAATGTACAGCGACTGGCTCATCACTGAAGTGAGGGCTCACCTTGGCACCGAAGCAGTAGCCGACAGCAGCAAGTCTCTTGACACCCAAGTCACCCTTGACGTACTTGATGGCAGCCTCGACGATAGGGTCAACGTTGGCAGGCTGGTGGTTAGGGAACCAAGCGCCAATGTCGAATTTTCCGGCCTCCATCTCGGCGACGGGGATGGCGTCGCCGTTGAACAGGTCGGGGATCACGCAAAGGTAGCCATTGGCAGCGTACTCATCAGCGAGCAGCTTGGCGTTGTTGAAGAGACCGAAAATGTCACTCAGGAAGAGAACAGCCTTCTCGGGGGTCTTGTTGTCCTTGGGGTAGGTGATGTAGTAGTCAACTGCAGCATAGACCCCGTCAGTGGGATCATTCCCTGCACACAAGAGCCTGGTAAAGGCAACCTACCGCCATTGACGTTCTTGACCTCACCAACGGGGGTGCCTTCGTGCTTGAAGCCCTGGGCACAGCAAGCTCCGGGAGGATTGGACGCCATTGTGATGTGTAAAGGTTGGGTGGGGGGGGAAGAAGGGTGGATGCTTTGAAAGAGGTACTAAGATATGAAAAATGGTTGGATACCAGGAAAGCCAAAAGGTGAGATACGGCTGGATATATACCCTGAATTTGCCCCGAATTGGAGTAATTTGCGCATGCAGTGGCTTCGAGATTCCCCTCTATTGCCCCCCCACTTGTTGCCCCTCCTAGGGAAAGGTTCCCACGGTTATATTAGGCAAGCCACCGAATGGCGTGGCCCTTACTAATCCTCGAATTCACCTGACATCATGGATCGACTCTAGAATTTCCGTCGCAAAGCAGCATATTGCAGCCTGTTCTCTTCGAATTTCCACATTTCGTGTGATGAAGCAACTGACTATAACATCAAACATGTTTCTCTGTTTGTGAAACCATTCATATATGAGAGAATTGAGACAGTGATAATTCAACCGGCCACTTGCCAAATTGCCGAGGCGGCAAGTTCCTCATGCCGACGTCGGGCCAACCGTCGCCATTCTCTTTTTCTTTTCCTGCCCACTCTTTTTCTTTTGGCTAAGCTTTGGTAGGCTTCGGACTTATCGGCTTAGCCCCGGGATCAGCACCTGTACAGCTACTGTGTATAACTACAATTGCCCGGCAGCAGGGCAAGTCTCAAACATGTTTATAGAAATACTTCACATATCTCGTCACCGAGTCAAATTCAAAACATGTCGGGACCAATTCTGCACATAGTACTAAATGTTCATATATTAAGCCCTGATTGTCAGGTATCAACTTGCTAATTAAATGGCCATCATATCCTCCTCATTATTGCCTGAAAGGTTCAAGCAGATCATTCATTCGTGGTAATCACATTAAGACAAGATCCATCGCAGAAAGGCCGTGGTAAACGGGGTCATGTTCATCGTCAGGGCTCAAATCCTGCGCTCCAACACCAGGCCGAAGGATAACCGATATCCGTGGGGGGTATAATGCTGTAGAAAGCAAATCTTTTTTTGGTGTGTGGTTCTTACTCGTGCATCCTCATCCGTAGAGTGCTCCTGAGCTGTCTTTAGAGAGCGTCTCTCAGCAAACACAGTATACACGACGTAGATAATATTTTCACTCAGGCGGGGAACTGATAAGGTGGCAGCTGGGGGCGGGATTCCCGCTTCACCGCCCAGGCTTTGAGGGCGATCGAGAGAATCTCGTAGGCCATAACAAAGGCGGTCAAGCCCATGGTGACAGTGAACACAAACATCGCATCGAGGTCGTAGTATTCCATGGCCTGAATCACGCTGCGTGTCTGCACAAAAGTTAGCTAATTGATTCCTAGCTTTAAGGCATTGGCGCCAGCGAACAACTTACACTAAGCATGAAAACCAAGCCACCAGAAATGAGGCAGAAGGAAGCCACGATCTCAGTTGGCGGACGAGCAGGCAGGTAGGAGGTAGGTGGCTTCAGGTACATCAGGACATAAGTCACACCCCGAGCAAGCGCAAATCCGACGAGAAGGTTGCCCCACTGCTTGTGCACCATTGTTGATACCATGCTGTCTTGGTGGTGAGAACCCATCATCATGCCCAGAAGAAGGATAATCAATGCAGGCATAGGGTTGAGGGAAACGCCCTGAGTGTCAGGAAGCTGCCAAGCAGTATCGCTGGAGGCGTGAGCGTTCATGTGGGATGGATATTGCAAGACAGTGCTGTTCAACCAGCCCTTGACGCGTTTCGACTCGAAAAGCATGCCACACAGTCCACCACCGAAGAACATAATGGAGATCGAGACATGCTCAAAGTCGGTCGCAGTCCACTTGCCGCCCCATCCTGTGAGATGCTCCAGAAACATGTTACTCGCACCATAGAGGAATATCACAAACGACTCAGTGAACTCTCCAGTGGGGACTTTGGCCTTCCATTTACCAACAATAGCGCTGGACGGTTTCACATTCCAGGCCCAGCCGAGATCTGCCCAACAGCCAAGCATTCGTCCTAGTGTCAACAGACCGTACCACACGAAGATTCCACCCTTGATGAAGTGCGCAAGACCGTTGAAAACTTCCTTGCCGCGCTGTGTCACACGTCAGCGAGAGCTGTTCACACAATTATTGAAGCGATGATCATACCATAATACCGCCGTAAGTCACAAAGCCAGTCACAAGAGCGACAAAGCCGAAAGGCAGAATGATCCTGTCGATGATCTTATAGATGACCGAAAGGACGCGGAGCACACGGTTGGACACCATGCCCGGCACACGGCTGGCCAGGAAGCGGTCAATAATGGGGATGCGCATGGGTCTGTGTAACTGAGGGGGGTTTTCAGGGACCGGGTCCTCGGGTTTTTCGAAGCCGTCGTACTCGTCCGATGCGGACGCACACGATGGCGACTCTGGACAGTGGATCGAGGATGAATTTCTCTCAGTTCCCTGCCCGCTATCTCTCGACCAACGATATGAGTGACGAGGGCCAGTAGGGAAGGTGTCGTGGCTATCGGCCATTTCATCGGTCGACACAGGAAGGAAAGCTGCGCGTTCATAGGAGCTGTCTTCCGTCTCCCCTCGTCCGGCATAAGCGAAGATCAGCGACATAATCACTTGAGCGCTGATAAGCCAGGTCGCGATCCAGCCAATCTTGTGATGGGCGTTGTTTCCGTACAGATCCGGGGTCTGGCTGTTGTAGATTATTCCGACAAGCATTCCAATCGCATTTAACACCAGGAAGAGGAATTGCGACGGCAAGGCAAAGCGGGATCGTCCGACACTGAGCATGACCGCTGCAAACTCTTTGTTAGCCTCGCGTGCGCCTGGCTTGCGAGATGGAGATCTGATTTGGAAGCAGGAAAAGAACTTACCGATTGGGAGGATGAAGCACCAGGCAGCTACCATTAGACCGATGTGCGCCATGATTGCGCCGCTATGCTTGCCATAGGCAAAATAACTCATAGGCGAGTCGTCCGTCGACTCTGTGTTTTCCTTTGGTTGCGAATCGTGGCTGGACATGTCCATGCCGCTGTCCATGTGCATTCCCTCATCATCTCCATGCGGAATAGCATTCGCAACTGAGATTAGTAAGAAGGACGCCGCGAGCGCGGCACGGGAAGCTCGCTGCCACATGAGCGCAAGCTTAAATCCGGTTTGCGACAAGAATGAAATGCGACAAAAGGGAAATTATGGAGCGCAAGTGCTACGAGCTTGCTTGGGCACCCGACAACAGTTTCCTAGACCGAGGAGACGGCACCTCCAGAATGAGGAAGAGAGTTGTCAGCTGAGGTGGTAGGGTTGCTGTGTATGCAAAGGACCGACGGTCGAGTGCGGTGCGGTGGGAGAGCGGACTGGAAGTATAAGAACCAAGAGCTCAAGGGAACCCCAACTGGTGGCTTTTGGATGATCCAAGGACTGAAGGGAGAAGAAAATAAAGAGCTGGAAAGCAAGAGGGTTGCGCCAGACTTTTTAATCAGGTCATTACACATCATTACCGACATTCACGCTGTGTTCAAGTTGCTGGTTGGGTCTTGGGTCTTCGTTCGTCTTCCTTTTCGGAGCTGGCGGGGATAGCCATGCAACAAATCCGAAAGGCCGTGGAAACAACAGCCTCGCTCGAGCACCGGGTACCGGAAGGAGTGGAGCAGAAGGTCACTGATGAGTATTAGTCTACTGGGAGCTCTGCAGTGGAGTGGCTAGGTTACCTAGTACTAGTACGTAGGGGTCACTCGGTGCTTTTATTTCTTCTTATTTTTCCATAAACTAATTAACCCATCAGCTTTTGAGTAAGTACGAGGAAGTACCTCATTGGATAGATAGCTATAGATTCATCCAGAAACACTTGGTCTACCAATGGTCCAGTTTACTGCTACAGGTGTGTCTTCATTGTTCTTATTCAGTGCTTCCCGCTCGTCATCATGAGGTGTCTCTCAGTACGGTAGAATTAGTGAGCATTATTTTTTGTTGGCACTAAGTGACTAGATGATCGCTGGAACGATCATTAGTTCCATTTCTGGAACCTTAATTTTCTCTTTTTTCCCTTCTTTTCTCACTTTCCTTTTTTTTTTTTTTTTTCCTTTTCTCTTTCCTTCCAGACTTGCCGAGTTTTCCATCTTGATCGACTGGCAATGTTATAGTACGCGCCTGGTAACTTGTCCTTCGCTAAGCTCCTCTCTGTGCTCAGCATCATTGCTCCTGACTCATGATGAGCACTAATGAGTAAGACTTGATCTTAGTTAAAGCAAGTGCGCTGGCACATGATAAGTCAGATTTAGGGTGATACTTCCAATCGAAAAGGTATCATTGGATCACTTAGGGAGAGACAAAATCTAACAAAGGTTTTGGGGAGTGCTTCGGCTCTCGGAAGGCCGGAGCAGCTGGGAGAAGGAGCGAGTTCTGGGCAATGAAGTCATGCCGGGCTGAAGGTGCCGTGGAAAATGATCTCATTCCAAGGTACCGAACTGTTAGCGCCGGGTCTAGAGCGGACTCTCTTTAACCCTTTCTGGCCGAGCTTATTGTTCATGTGCCTTGAACTAACTACTCAATCTAACTCATTCTTACTCATAGTGTTGAGCTGTCGGCGACTGGGCGACTGAACGACTCTGTTGCCTATACACTTTATTGGGATTCTCGACTGCTGTTCCATATGATCTGGCTCTGCCTCATATAGACAGACCATCTTGATACAGTTGTTATGACAGGAGATTATTGATAGTATCGCGAGCTAGAACCCTCCTTCTTTACTCTCCGAGGACGAAGGCATGCTGGTCTCTATACTCCAACCTTCACATCCCGAAAACCATTTACTTCTCAAGTGTGTTCAGCTCATGTGACTGTTCATTCCAGGCGACTTGGGCTCCAAAGTTGCTGACCATCCCCGCACTCTGATATATTGGCGGCAACCCATGAAATCTGAGAGACACCGGTCTCTCCCAACTTGGAATGTCCCGATACGACATGATCTCGATAGTCTCTAGCCGCGTGGGAGCCTCTAGCCGCGTGGGAAGACTGACTCCTGTCTAACATGTTCTGTTAGAGTGAGCCCATATTTTCACACGCTACTTATCCGGCCCAATAAAAACAAGTTTCTATCCTGACAGCTACCTAGTAGCTATTCACACGAGTGGGGAACAGCGATACGACTTCGAACGATAGCCACTTATCTCTCCTATAGCTGATAGAGTGCCGGTATCGAGTCAGATCGCGGAGTAGGTCTTAAGCAGTGAAGCCATCCAACGCTCCCCTTGCATGATACTACTTTTGCGTGGTGGAGTCACGGGAGCTAAAGGCAGTGTAGCGAGGCTCCAGGCTGCTTCATAACTAGGTACTGTCTACCATAAATGTATACACTGCTGGATTCGAAGCCGCACCCGGAGAGATAGATGTGCAAGTCCAATCCTAAACTGCTTACGAGCTACGAAAGGCATCTGAGAAGCTCCTGTGTACTCCAAGCATGGACACGCATTGTTAAATAGACAATGTCCAAGTCTCCGTGTTTGTTTATTGTCGGTGATTGGCTAGGGCGAAGTATACCTTGATTGTTGACAAGTCAAGTCCCTTAATTTCGATCTCTATGGTCTGATCGTCGACAATTTGGGTACTATGTACATCCTGGTGTAGCGTGACATCTTTATGCAGCTTGTCACACTTTAACAATTTTGTCTTAGAGTGAGGGGAGAGGTAGAGGTATAGTACCTGCCGTAAACAATCACACAGTGCATGGATGTGCTGGCGTGAAGAGCTGATATGTGAGCCTTTAGCGACAATCTTCAACCATGCAGGCAAGCCAGCGACTCAGTATCTCTGATGCCTGAACTTTACGACTCACGGATAGGTGAACTGTTGACTCTACGTCTAAATTTAAGTGATAGACAGTAGGCTCCAATGATTCCGGTCAGACTCTAGAGCCTATGCGGCGTCGTATTGTGAGGGAGCTGGCAGTTTTGTTGTTCATTGTTGCATTAATAATACTTCATGTACTCAGTACTTGTGTTGGACGGGTCGACCGCCAACAAGCGTCGATCTCTTTATCTGCGTATAGTGAGTGATCCCTCGGAAACAGACCCCACCCTGCGGGGCTCTCGCACGTTGGGCGCCCAGCCCTGTTCGCGTCTGTGTGCCGTCTGGTCTGTCTGGTCTTTGTTCCTCTTGCTCTCTCTCTCTTTCGTCTGACAACCCAACTGGCGATCGTGGCTTGGCGTCACCTTTTAGCACGGACTTAAGGAAGCACCTGCATCCGCGCTCTTCCGCCAGCGCCAGAGCGCCTTCTTGCGGGTAGTCTGGAAGGGAGGCTGGCTTGACCGCCTTGAGATCGACGGAGCCCGTCGAAGAGCTGTCATCTTGTGAACAGCCCTGCCGTTGATACATAATGAGCTCATTGCAGCTACTTCGCAGGTGGGTAGGGCTGGGAAAACCACCGCGCAGTGGAGAGTGATTTGGAACAACCACGCCGAATCCGAGCTGGTTAAGCAAGATTGGTAACATGCAGGACTGGAAAGACCGGAAGAAGAAAAAAGAAGGTGAAAAAAAATGATGTTATTCAAAAGCCGGGCGAACCAAGCTGCCAAAAGACTAGACTCAAGCTATGGGAAACCGACACAGACCAGTCCCCTAAGCAAGCACAACAACCCACCAAACGACACGCACCGGTTCTTCTTGGAGACACGCCCACCGCGCCGCAAACCAGCAACTCGCATGACCTGGTGGAATTTCCCGTCTCGTTTCTTTTGACTTCTCAAGAATAATAATATTTGATACCTAATTGTGTGCCGTTCCCACTTGATGCCGAGTCGCCGAGATTCCTCTGCACGCGCTTACCTATGCGCATCGTATGACTCATTGAAATACGCCTGGAACTCGGATCGGATATCATCTGCAGGTTGCTGGAAGATGCTTTGACATCATCGAGCGATGACTATGGCAGCATCATATGAGCTGATTCCTCGCATATTGACCTGCTTTTGGGAGATGGGACTTTGACATCGCTATCTGCATGGAATCCAGTATTGATTTGGCTGGCCTCTTTGTTTGTTGAGCTTTGTTGAGCTTGAGCCTAGAGGGCAATCCCCGCAATATGCCGGGCATCAGAGCAGCAAGCATTACCGTCTTGGACCATCCGTGCTGCCAGCCTCATGAGGACCCGCCCGCTACGGCCATCCCCGATAAGATTCATGCATGTTTAGTGCAGTGCACAGAGCCGTGTGCACAAATCCCGAGCCCCTTCGCTAGGGTCTACCTGTACGGAGTAAGTACATCGAGGGCAGCTGACAGCCAACAAACTCATTTCTGGATGATGTTATTTAGCACCACCGGGCTCCAGAGTCATGAATGCATAAGAGTGCGTTCATTGCTGCCTACCATCGTCCCCGAAGCACTGCCTCCCTCAACTGTGTGCTATACAGTAGATACCCTACTCGGGTGTAGGGTTCAAGTATGCCAGGATTCAGTCGATTTCCAACCATTACAAGTGGGACCGACCGACTTTCCCATACACCATCCCATCAAGTCCCCGATAGATCCTTTTTTGGGGCTCTCATCACGACGGGAATCTTCTTTCCCCTTCATGCGGACGGGGCGTATTATTAATACAAGTCGAGTTTGACTGGAAAGGAAAGATTTTTTTCCTCTTCCTTGAGAATTCAGATACAACCAATGGGGTAAGCAAAACACGAACGGGGTCAGTCCGAAGACACGCCCTTGGGGAACTAATGTGAATTAGTATCTTGTTGAGAAGGGGGATTTTCTTTGCTGATGGGGCTGATCGAAGCTGGGTCTTTCCCGCCATTATCATTATCAGCACATGGACGATCTGGACATCTATGATCTCTAGGATATTTGGTTTCTGAGCATTTTTCTATGCTTAAGAATTGCAAGCCAGAAATGATCTGGCTTTCTAACAAAACCGAAACAATAAACAATAAACAATAATAAAGTCAGCATACCGTGATGTTCCCATTCAACTCTGCCTTGGACAACAAAAGTCAAGCACTCCACCCGTACTTCCCGAACCCTTCCCTTAAAGAGGTAGGATGCAACGAGGGGAGCGGGAGAACAAAACCAGCCAAAATCTACTAAAGTCGGCAATTCGGCATCGATCCAAACAACCACGACGTTGAATGGATGGACCAAAATGCTTTACCTTGGATTTGAAGAAGAAATCGACATGGGCCAGGCGGGTAAATCTCCGAAAGTCGCCGTTACAGCTACACTTCAATATGGTCAAATCCCCGAACCCTCCCCCTCTCCCCAATCTAAACCCCGATGCAGAATTGGCAATTGGTATTATTGCATCCCACTAGCATGGCATGACGGGAAAGCGCGGCGGCTGCGGAAAGGCGCGAAAATCGGACCTGCTGGCCCTGGATTCTGGCCTTGAAGTCTGGTCACTTACAATAGCACCGATACCTCAATGGCAGCTGACCTTGGAGAACGGCAATCGCTTTTTATTTCTCGAGGCCCATTTTGGACGAAGCTAGCGGGTGGTCCCGTCCGCAAGTGGTCTCCGGCGAAGCGAGCAGAGCAAGTCAGTCTATGTCGGGTTTATCTCGGATCAAAAGGATGATGCTTCCAGTCTTTTACTCCTTTTGGTCATGCTACACAATGCGTAACGGATGTACGGGATTAGACGGTGGTTTCTATGCATTTGGCCATGTTAGTTATGAAAGTTTGGTCCAGTTGTCGGAGTCTTGGACTAGAAGTCTGGAGGATCAACAACCTGAGGATCCATGCCGATCTTCGTATACTGCAGTGCAGACGGACTATCTTTTGGTGGACAATCTTGATAACCACCCACTGGTCGCTTTGCAGCCAACACAATTATTGCGAGGTATAACTAGAACCCTTGGAGATGCACCCCGTGACTGGGGCAACCGATAGCCTTTCCTTGAAGGGCTTCATATTGCTGTGTGGAGGGGTTTAGGTATCTGGGGTGTGAAGAACTAGTCTTAACAAGCACCACGATTACCACTTCGCCCGCTTCTCTTGAGGAGATCAGCCTAGTTTTTCTATTAGTTCCTCAGCAAACATTGTTCTATCGTGCACGATTGGACTCTGATATGCTGATCGGCATGCACACACAGACTGCGCCCGTGACTCCAGACTTACGCCATACTAGAAGCCTGCAATGGTAAGGAGGTCGGTGCCCTCAATTGTCGCGATTGAGGAGGCCCTCCTTGTAGCGTGTGCGCCTTCCTAGCCTGTCCTTCCTGCCTAGGACAGGTAACATCTTCTTTTGCAAATACCTACCCCTGGAGTAGCAATATCTACTGCCTTCAATTAGAGAGTTCCATCCATTTTCAGATTCTGCATCAACTTGTTGAGACCATTCCGCCTATGATTCGGGTCACCGCTTGTCGTCGCCATCCAGTCAGCAAAAGACTGCGGGAGTATCAACATCAGAAAACAGACAAGAGAGTGTCTGTCCAGTATGAAGAGCATTATAGCTCTAGGTTGACTGAGAAACCAAGACATGTTGACTCCGCGTGAACATTTGGCCTCTCTAAGGCCGTCTCATGTATACTCCCCCCCCCAAAGCCAGTGACAGGAAGGATGATGATAAGCGAGGCCCGGAAAGGCGGAGGGAAACCCGCCGGCGCCTCCCTCACCGCCCGTCTCTCCATTCCCCGTCGATCAACCAGATTGTGATCATGTGATTGAGCAGCCCAAACCGGCTTAGTGGCCCGCAAGCGAGGTGGTCCGAGCCCGCCGACCGGGCAAGCGCAGGAAAGCACACAACGGAATTTCAACCCTAGCCTTTTTGTCTGAATCCCCTCAACGCCCAGCCGACGACAAATCCGCCTGCCCAAACACCCGACCTCATCCCCCAGGTTTTCTCTCGCCTCAGAAAATTCAAGATGACTCACGAGTCTGTTTGGTACAGCCGTCCCCGCCAGTAAGTGCTCCCTGTTCGACGCGATCCGATTGAAAGATTGAGGGTATATTTCGTGAGACTAACGGAGATTCGTTGTATAGGTTCGGCAAGGGCTCCCGTGGATGGTGTGTTTAATCCCCCTGAAATCTGGAAACTGCGAAGAGAAACGATCAAAAGAGGAGGGGAATCACGCGACGAACTGGAATGCCAAAATGAAGGAACACCCAATGGACAAATGACTGATTTATGCTCGATTAAAATACAGCCGTGTCTGCTCCCACCGCGCCGGTCTCATCCGCAAGTACGGGGTATGGAACACCTGATATACTCTTAGTTGGATCAATTCGAATCTTTGGGACTGGTGAACTGATTGAGAATGCATTACAGATGAACATCTGCCGTCAGTGCTTCCGTGAGAAGGCCTCGGACATCGGTTTCTACAAGGTTGGTTTTCATCTTCACCTACACACCTTGCTCTACCATACAATCTGCGCCCGCGATTGGAGGATACACATCATTGCTTGCGACCGTGGAAATGGACTAGACATACTCAACACCGGAGGAAAGGGGAATCAAAACAATAAAACGACGAGAAGACAAGTTCGAAAGGGCGACGGCACACATGGATATCCTGCACATCACACAACATGCACACACCAACCCACCCGAACAACCTTAGCTAATGCCTCACCTCCTTCAGTTCCGTTAAATTCCTTCCTTCTTCCGAATTCAATTTTCCTTTGTTCACGACGGATCTCTTTCACGTGCTCGGGCGCTCGGTACCAAAATGAAGTGATGAAATGGAGAGGAGGAATTCTTCCTTTTCTTGTTCTCTCTCTTTCGAACAACTCCAGAGAATCGCCGCGAATCCTTGAACTTCTCTACAACCCCCCAATCCGCTCGGACAATGGCTTAGGATTTGCTCTTGAAAACAAAGCAAATTTCGGACTGGGGACTCATCTGGTACTCGGGGAGGATTTTGAATTTTTTAGAGAGCCGAGAAACGAGAGAAAAACAAGAAATGAAATCATAAAAATTGAGGGATGCTTCATCTGCTTTTCTTTCCTTGCTGTTTTCCCCAACAATGCCTTCGGATAACTTGATCGATCGTCTGGGTTGGTTTTTTGCGATGCAAGCGAGTCACCGCATGGGGTCTGGCTGGCATATCTAAGCGTGGGCTCCGTCCCGTTGGGGCTGCTTCGTGCTGGACTGATCCCTATCGTGTGCATTATGGGACCCTTCTCCATCTGTCCTGTGGTCTTTGCGGTTCCTCCGATGTCTTGATCGTAGTGGTTAAGTTGGAGACCGCATCGCCCGTCTCGTAGTGTAGTTGAATGCCCGCGGCGCCCCTGAACAATACTGTACCCATTTAGCTCTAGCCGGGCACCCACCTGACACCGTACTGTGCTATCGGATTGGAACCTCGGTAGCTCCAAAGGAGCCAGTCCACAAGCCAATCACAGACCCCAGTTTTGATGGAAGTATACATTCTTCTTTCCCTTCAAGGTTCAAGTTGCTAAATACTAGGTATGCTACCGAAGACCCCACATCGGATGCAAACCATATCCCAAAATAACCTCCACAACGCTGGAGAAAATAAGACCCCCAAGAAAGACATGCAGAGGATACTTCCTTGCCCGCCCTACCTTCCTACCAACCTATCTCCTATCACGTATGAACCAGAGCTCAAAAAGGGTTTCTAACGAGTGCAAATAGTGCTATGGCTATGAATCATATGCTATGCCGATTTGGAAATTTCACCGCCCCCCAAACTTATTCATACAGTGTATGCGAAAGACAAAAGTAGACACGGAACTGAGTGAAAAAAAAAAACCAAGTGGGCAATACAACACGGGGGGGGGTGATCTAACTCCATGGTCCCGGACCCAGGTTTCATACTCCAGAAGGGATTTTGGTGCTGGAAACTAGAATCACTTAAGAACAGACTGCGATGTGGGTCACCAAAGTAATAAGTCGGAATATAAGAATGAATGGCAAAAGGTCCGCCGGGAATGGAATTGGGAATAGTGGGAGGTATTATTGAGCTATCGATGATGATGATGATGATGATGATGATGATGATGATATGTACCGGGATGGGGAATTGATGCGGCAGGTTCAGGGGGTGTGAGGTAGAAGATGTATATGTAAAGGAAAGAGCCTGAGAGCAAATAGACGTGTGTTATTACTGTGGTGCAGAGGCTAGGGATCGGAGGTTGTAGAATAGGAGATAGGCGTCTGCGTTGAGGACGTCTGCCTCGGCCACTGGTGTTACTTGGTCGTCGTTGAAGAGCATCCACTGCTTGTTTTGGTTTGGGGTTAGTATTTAGGCGAAGAGGGTGACGGGATGAAGGAAGGATTGAGAGGGGCGGAAGTGCATTGGAAGGATCAAGGGGAGAAGTCTTACCTCGTCTCCTTGGCGGCAGTAAACGTAATAGTGACCCGAATCCAGCTTGCCCTTGTGCACGACGGCGGATGAGAGGTCATACATGAAGCGTGCTTTGTCAACCTTGGAGTGTGGATTCGTCGTGTACGGGAGCATGTTGATGGAAAGCGGAAATTCAATCCGGCCTTCGAGTTTCTCGGAGACAGAGGCGCTGTGCTCGAATCGCTGGGATTTTTGGTTTAGTCTAGACTGGTAAGGATTTGTGGGGGTTGGAAAGTTGTACCTTGAGCTGCATGCATAAGATGGCCGGCAGTTTCTTGATCCGCAACTGCTTGGTCGCCTTCTGAGAGCCCCCGTTGCACTGGCTGCAGTTGTATACGCCTGCCATGAGCTTCTCCGGGGAGGTGAAACTCTCAAGGCAACCACTCAGCGTTGGGGTCGACGAACCAACCCCACCACCCATGGCTCGTTTCTTCACCTGTACATCGAGGCTGAGGTCCACCATCGGGTCCTCGGTTTTGGTGACATTGCCACACTTGTCGCATGTCACGCTACTACGGAGCTTGCCGTAGAATGTCTTGTGGAAGAAGCAAGGACATCCCTTCTGGTGGTTCTCGTGGTGGTCCTCGGTGCTTGCATGGAGTTTATCCACGAGGAATTGATAGTACTCGTGAGCGTCCTGTTGCTGATAGCCGGCTAGTGTCTGTAGTGCATGACATGTTAGCGAGACTATTAGAATGAAAACCATGGTGCACATACGGGACTCGAGCGCCATGACGCCACAAGAAGATTCAAAGCAGTAAACCCTTCGGCCTTGTCGATGCTGTTGAAGTCGGCAAATGCTTCAGCGACTGCACAGCCTACACAGTCGGGAATAGTACAGTCATGCGGCTGGTGACCATCTCCTAGAAAATATGTGCTGAGGATTGGATCGTGTAGGAGAGTCTGCAGGATGACATTCAGATAACAGGTCTGGCCCAAGTTGAACAAGCCCCTGACGCCCTGTTTTGCGCAGGGACGTTTGGTGGCATTGCTCCGAATGTATAGCTCATCTGCTGAACTATCGCTAAATCGACGTTTCTTGGCGACTGGGTGCGATTTTAGCGCCCATGGCAATGAGTCCGGTGAGCGCGCATGCTTACCTTGCAAGGCACTTTCTGCTGCGGAGCAGCGCAATCTTTCCAGCCCATGATCGAAGACAAAGTCACCGCAGCCCTGACAATAGAGATTGCGAGCTCGAGAATCCATGACTAGGAGGGTCAGTGGTTGGCCGCGCACTCGGCGAGGATGACTTACAGAATGAGTGACCCGTCTTATCGGTGTGAGCTTGCCGCTCGCTCATCAAGCAGGTTTCTGAACATGTCAAGCAAATATACTTGGGCTTTAAGAACCCGTGGGCCCTTGAACGAGGATTCTTAATGAGTCCGTCCACAGGCTTGGGCAAGACCGCCAGGGAGTTATGCGCCTTGATAAAGGAGCTCTTGAACTGCTCCGCCGTGTTGGCATCTTGTCCTATCTGGGTGGCCAGGTGCTCTTTCGTAGAGATATCAGCAATCAATACCATATTTCAGACAATGCATGGTCTAGAAGGTGTACATACCGCAGCCGAATTCGGCCTCCGAGAGCAATGAGACAGAGACCACACTGGCCACGGTCGCTACGGTCGCCATGACGGATCCGACGCACGACACAGGGGGTTTTCACAAAGAGCGCAAGAAAGTCAAACCGGCACAGCCAAGGTCAAGACTCTATGAATCAAGAGAAGAGGAGAGGGGTGATGTTCAGCAGGTCAACTGCAGATCAGAGAGGATCCATGCATTGCAGCACTGGGGAAGGTCTAGGTGTCATCCACATCAGTATTGTCTGTGAATCAGGCCAAGAAACAAGGACTGGGAGGAAGTATTTGATAATTTGTAACACGGATCACAGTACCTTATGAGATCCAATATAAAGACAGTGGGGATACTGAATAGATCAGCTCCGCAATAGAGTAAAAGTTGCAGCAGCCCGTGAGTGACACACTGGAGAGACTCCGCCAGCCACCGGAGGGTTCCGCTGTCGGGGATCGGAAGCGGGTGGATTCAGTCTGGACGGAGCTTCTTGTCCAGCCTTGCTTCGGCAATAATCCTTCCCACCACGAACCAGAAGTCCTGAGAGGCTTATAGAATGAAGAGCATGCGAGAGTAAGACTATTATAGAGCAATGATCCCAGAGACAGACAATTACAGAACGTCCTGGGTCTCGTTGCTGAGGAGGCGCAAGAAGCAGGTCAGGTCAGATCTTTTTTTGCGCAAGGGTCGACCGCGGCTGCTCCGGCGGCGATAAGACGCCGGATCCTCACTTGATCCGAGATCGCCTCCTGCGCCAATATGTACGAAGTAACACATCAAAGTGCAATAATACACCTTTTCGCAACAAGGCCAACTACCATTCACCTACGAAAGTCACTCCTCACAATAGAATGTTGTGTACATTGTCCCCCAATGCAATTTGAGCATTGAAGAGCTATCTTGAGACTAATCTACCAACACACAATCTAAAAACCTGTGTATACCAATTTTCCTGTGCTTGTCAAGCAGTATCGTATACCAAGATAGGTCACCGCAGTCTGCTTCGCAGGCACCATCGCAACATCTTCACGACCTAGATCGTCCTATGTGTGCGGGTCTTTGTCCTCGCCGGGCCTGCCAGTCGCGTGGGATAGCGGCCAAGAGCGTGCACCCCTGTATGCGCATAAGTTTTTTGCCGTAATTCATGTCGCTTCTCATGTCCTCATTCACTGCTGCTCTTGATCACCGAACGCCTCTTCCCCGGGGCAGCGCACTGGGCCGGGATCCTCGGCTAGAGCCTCTTGTAGCATATCGCCCAGTTGTCGAGCCGCGCGTTCCTCTAGTGGCCCCTCTGGTTGTTCCTCTGGTGGTTCCTCTTGTAGATCCGCGCGAAGAAGCCGGGATCCTTGGCGTGGGCTTGGAAGAGATCATGCTCGGTGGGTTTTCGACAAACGAGGTATCCGTAGTCCTAAGGTCAAAGAATGTGTTCAGTATGATAGCGAAAAGGAGAAGGAAAGAGGCGGAAACTCTGGGCGACATACATGAAAGTCATTTCTGCGTCATTGGTCGCTTGCGCTGCCTCCGCTTCAGCTGCTATTGAGTGTCAATATCTCATACTCGGGAAATTAAACAATGGAGCTGTACCGCTTTGCGTCTCCGCTTGCTTTGCCCTCCGGAATGATTCTGCGATCGGTGCCTGAGATGAATGAGCAAATTGACCATCGTGAAATACGGATCAGACTATTGCGGTTGAGCAGTCTCATACCTCTGGAAAATCCACACAGAAGGCATTCATGTTCATTCCGTACAAGAAACTGGCGAAGCTTTCGCTGAATCGTGTCAAGCTCTCATGCATTAATTGGAGATGCATGAAGTTGGCTTCTAGATCCGCCATCGAGTCTGCGAGTTCCGCGAACTGGGGTTCCAACGCATTGATGGCGGGTTGTGTATAGCCAGCATTGCCAATACTGCTTCCATATCCATGGGCTTCGCGGAACGAGGAGCGTGAACTGGGTCGCAAGGGGGTCGTGGGTCGAGAAGAGGGCCGAGGGCGCGATGCTGAGCGAGAAAACGCATCCATGATGACCGTGGTTGGCTGAATTGAGATCCGAGGGTCGGGATAGAGATCAGATGCTTGCGATACGGCACTGCGCAGCGCACAATTGAGACAGAGAGTGGATTGAATATTCAGCTATCTCGGAAGTTTGTTCCTCAGATGAATGTCTTGAATCGGCGTGATAATTCTGATAGATCGTAGGTTTGTTGACGGTTGCAAGGTTCGGTGCGGGCGGCGGGCGGCGGGCGGGCTGTTGTTGATTCCCCCGCTTTGGGAAGGTGCGGTCACTGGACCAGTTGGACAGGCTGTGGATCATTGATGCCATATCCATCA